GTAGAAAGTATCCATTATTAAATCTACTTAAGTAAAGTACAGATACACGAAAAATGTACTTAAGTACAGTAACTTCCCACCACTGCTTAAATCCAAACTTATGTCCTGTCTGAAAAGATTTGTTGATGATTTTGGCTGGTTTTTGTTACTTCCAAAAATTGGGTTTTCACACAAATTTCTGCTTCACAACTTCTTTCTCACATCTGTATGTGCATGTGTGTGTTATACTAAATCACACATAATGCAGCAAATACATAACTGCACATGTTGCACAGCTAATTCTAATTTCCTGTTTGCGAACTTAACTCTGTGCTGTGTTTTTTTTTTTTTGCACACTGTGTTCTTGCTGCAAAAGTTCACTAGATTGTTTTTTTCCGAATTCAGCAAACCACAAAGTAAAATAAGCAAAACCACCCGATAACACCATGTTAATACAGAGGAGATTGTCTTTGAAGCTGATGGTGCTTTTGACAGGTTACCTGTAGCTGGTTCTGCTGCTTGTCACTGAGTTTGGGAGATTTGCACCCAGTGTTGAGTCGAGTCTGCAGCTGCACCTGGGACTGCTGCTGCTGGAGGAGAATCTGCCGGGCGACTTGGAAGGCCTGCCAGAGTGAAAACCCCCCAATAACAACGGGTTAAAAACGTGCTAAAGAAAGGCATCAAGTAGATAGTCTGACAATATCTTCCAATTACAACTTTTTCAAGCCATCTTCTTACACTTTGTCACATTGAAGCCACAAACATTTGTGTGTTTTACTGGTAATTTATTTCAGAATTGTGAAAAACTAACACTGCACATAGCTTTAACCACACAATCACCACTGTGAAACATGGTGGTGAAGGCAGCATCATACTTTGAGACAGAATGATGGAAAGTGGATCAGTTAATTGAGCTAAATACAAGGGAATCCAGGAGGAAAACCAGCTTGGACTATAACGGGAAATTGAGATTAGTGATGTATTAGGGTTAGGGTTAGTTTTCTTTTATATTGCTATTGGCCAAAGTCATTTATTTTTTTATATCGGTTTCAGCCCGATGTTAGATTTCTTTTTTTAAATATTGGTATCAGTATGCTAACAACTGATGTGTATTCCATCTGTTTGTCGTTTGTGTTTCAGGAGGATGAAGACTTTGGTCATGTGACAGTGAAAGTGATGCAGCGAAGGATTATTGGGTGTCGATTATATCGACCTGAAATTTTATGATGATATTTTGTAGTAACTATTGTGACACAAAATTAGCATTAAAAATATCTATTACTTCTTTTAAGCTAATTGTATGACAGTACAATTAGTTAAATTGTACTGTCATAAATTACTGTGTCATAATGCGTTCATAATGCCATAAGCATAAATGATGCTCTTGATAAACATACCTACTTGAAATCAGATTCTTTAGGACACCAGTCACATAAGGAAGTGTGATTTATATCACTAAACTGCTCATGGAGACTTTATTCAATTAGGCCTTAGCAGCTAATCACTGCTAAGGCCTACTGAATTTGAAGGATTTCTCCTTTAAAAAAAAAAAACCATTCCTTTACCACTTCACATGGCTCTTAGGAGGCCTAAATATATTCGAAAACTCACCAAAATTGTCCACCATGCAAGAATTTTGGATTTCAATTAAATCAAAAGCAGGTCTGGCCAAACTGCTCTACAGCGCCCCCGAAAGTGAGATAGAACAAACCGTACGTCATACAGATCTGAAATTCAGTATGTAGGTAGAACACCTAAAATGTACAGGGAGTCAGCTATTTTGGGTCAAAGGTCAAATTTTGGCCGTTTTTGACATTTACACACCTCAAACTAACAAACTCCTTCTAGATATTTTCATCTGTTCAATCTCGGTCAGTATGCAGTTTTGGGATCTTATTAAAGCAATTAGTTTTTTTTAGCACGTTTAGGATGCATGGCCAAGCGGTGCACCTAGCTTACTCGTCATAGCAAACAAAACACTGTAACTTTCACATGCAAAAGTCAAACTGTACCAAATGTAGTCATCCATGTTGGATTTCCTGATAATTTAATGTGGTCATATGACTACAACATCTAAAACCTGCCTCCTCAGAACAGGAAGTTGCTTTTTTTTCTTGGAAAGTTCCATCTCTGATCCCCTTGACCTAGTCAAGTTTATCTTGTCTCAGAAGACAGATAATATGTTCATCTCACTTGCTTTAAAGCACAGTTTTTGCTGGAGGGTGTGGCCATGACGGCACAGCAAAGTCAGACGTCACACAGTTGCCATAAGTTTGGCTTTAAATTCCACATATTTTAGCTGAGCTGCACCAATCTCACTGTGATCGATCTTAATCTACCCCCCAACAAGAACACAGTGTAATATTTGGTGGGTGTGGTCTAATTCCTCCACATCTTTAAAAAAAATGATCCCCAATTGCCCCAATTTGGTACACATATGCATTTTCTACGGACGAACCAAAATATCTCCTGAAGCTGTGGTCCAAACTCAACAGGAAGTCAGCCATTTTGGATCAAAGCCCCATTGTGTTTTTTTTACACGTTGTATCTGAGCGAACTCGTCCTGCAGCTGTTGACATACAGACTTCAGAATCACTCAGCAGAGTCCTGAGGAACTGAAGGTCAAAGTTATCAAAATCTTTTTCCTACATCACAGTGTGTGTCTCAAAATCTGGTCATTGGCCATAAAACAATAAGGTGGAATAACTTCCACCTACAAGCGCCTGGCTGCATAAAACTTTCTTTCTGTTATAACAGACCAGAACTCATCACATTCACATGGTCAAATGGTGACATCACCTTAGCCCTACCCCCTTCCAACAGGAAGTCACCTGTTTTTCTGCTGGTTTTCTTCCTTTTAGTCTTTGATTTATGGAGATATAAACCTGTTTAATGACATAGTACATGAAAGTAAATCCTTCTCTCAACACTAGTTGATGACTGAACCTTGTGGGAGTGGTTGAATGGTGAATTCTAATCCCTCACCTTTTGCATATGGTTGGCTCTAAATCACATGCATCTTCCACTTTGCACCAAACTTGATATGATTGACCTTTGTTAATCTCCCGTGGTTGCCATGAGGCCAGAGCTGTGTTGAGCTTCGACGGCAGTAGAGTTGAAAGTGCTTATTGCTCCATGTCCTAAATCAGAAATTGCTTAAAAAAAAAAAAATCATATTTCGTTCATTGTTGGTAAAGCGGTAAAAATGACACTGCAAAGTTCCAGATCATTAGGAAGTGTACACAAGCTTTTTTATGCGATATATATTTTGTCGTCGATCACTTTTAAAGGAAGATATCCTTTATATTAAAACACGATTCTTAGTTTTGTACATTATTGCGTTTTTTTATGAGTACTTTTTAACTTCTTGTAAAACTAATGTAATGTTGAAGCACAACAGTCAGTTTAATTTTGTATTTAAGTATTTCATTCCATTTGGTAGCTGATTTCAGACTGTTTGTGTTAAATTAGTTTACATTAAATTTATTTTTTATTTTCCTTACCATTTTAAGCGTTCTGTGTGATTTTGTACATATTTTTATATGAATATTTTTTTAATGTAGTGACGTTATAAATACCTCATCATCCTCCAAAAACAAAGAAAAAGCAGAACATGTGGAATATTATTTGTGATATAGTTATCAAGGTATTTAAAATACATATTGTCATATCATTTTTTGGCAATATCACCAAACCCCTAGATCAAAGCGTATTTATTCATTAGAATGCTCCACTCAGTGTTCAAGCATAACAAATAATCTGTAATTAAAATACCTGAAATTTGATATTTATTTACAGTCAGATTTAATCTAACTGAGCTTTAGTCATTTTTAAAGAAGAAACAAATGTCTTTAGATGTTAAAGTCAGCAGAAGGTGAATGGGAACAACTTCAAGCAATTTCTGAGCTTTATTTGCAAAAACAAAACAAAACAAAAGAAATGAAAATCATAAATCTTTTTTATCTTCAAAATGCATGCACCACTTTATTGTGGTCTGTTACATAACACACCAATATAATGTTTAAACTTGATAAAAAATAAAAAAGTTCAAGGGTTATGCATATTTTCAGACATCACAGGGACGTCTACATGCTCCCCCGCTCATGTAAGACAGGCATAAACAACCGACAGATGTCCAAACAATTTCACTGGCAAAACACAAGGGACGAGAAAAGCCGTCCAGATGAAATATTTGTCTGTTGATAAGTTGCACCTAAAGCAAAACCACACGGTCAGAGACGCTAATCTGCACTTTTTGATCCTCCTTCCATTTGGCCCAAGTCCCCCGCTAGAAAGCAAACTAAAGACTTTATGGTCACTTTGAAAATCTGCTAAAGGACACAGCCTTTTCAGTGGAAAAAAAATACAGCGCAGTCACATGGTTATTGCTCCAGCTACTCCCTTTTTCCCTTATGATAAATAATCAAACATGCCATTCAGAGCAAACAAAGCTGGAGAGCACTGGGGATAGAAACAGAATGGTCTCAAAAAACAGCCGGCGATACCAAGAAAAGCAAAGCGTTGTGTTCCCACAGTGAGCTGGCCGGCCCTCACACCTCCACCAGTAAACCATCTGAGTAAATAAGCTGCTTCATTCTTTCCGTGTTCCCCCAAGAAGATCGCCCACAACCAAAGTCATCAACATAGAAGATCATCTCTACCTCTTCTTTTCAATTATTTGTCAACTTTTAACAATTGGTTCAAAAAACAACAACAAAAAAAAAACACTCATTGGAACGTTTTTTTTAACGGTGAGAAAAGCCGGCAGAGAGGTGAAAGAGCGACATGTGAAAAAGGGAGTGAAACCCGTTAAAGACTGTGTGAAAGTAAGTTATCAACGAGGAAACAGAAAAAAAGGCTGGGGTGAGCGCAGACAAAAACAGATACCGGCGAGGGCTTGGTGCCAGTAAAAGTTTAGAGGCACAGAGGCAGTTGAAACCAACAGCTGTGTGGCGGCCTGTGTGTGGGTTGTGCAGACTGACCCCTCCCAGACACACGGCGGTGGGATGATATCATGAGGCACAAATACAACCGCAGGCTACAGAGAGAGGCCGCGCTGCGTTTGACCAAACTTAACTGAGAGGCAGCAGAAGAAAAGACAAAAAAGCAACTTCTCTTTCTGCCTCAGTCTGGATGCGTCTCATGCAGGGACAAACACATTTTGTTCTGCATACATAATTGTGTTGTTTTGCATTGAAATTCGCTGGGGAAACCCCCCTTCAAAGCACGGACACTCATATAGAAAGTCTTCAGATTCAAAGTAAGAAGTTTGTGAGCAAGTTTCACTCCCACGCCAGGGCCAATATTTACATCTTACATTTCAGGTACTGGGTTTTTACTCCAAAAAACAAGTTTAAATGTGACAGAAAAACTGGAAGTATCTATAAAATTAAGATGTTGGGCAGAGGAGACTGGGAAATTATGAAAAATAGGTGCCATTATAGTGTTTATGACTGTTTTCATTTAATTTTCATTTAGAATCTTCTTTTTAAGTGAATACATTTCACATATAAATAATGACCTAAGTACATTTTTTGCCAAAAGATGATTTAGACAAAAAAAAAAAATCACTTTTGGCAAAAAATAAATTCTTAGTTTAGGAAGGTAACAATAACATGCGGTTTGAACTAAAAAAACAAATCGATTCCTTTAATTAGAAGGATCTATATACAGAAATAAATGAAAACAATATGTAAAATAAGTTAAATATGTGAAAACAATTTAGGAAGGATAATAGTGTGCATTTGGGAAAGGAGGTAATCATATTAAAGAGACAAAAATAAATAAATTAAATAATAATAATAATAATAATAAACAAAAACATCTTACAAATGTAATCCCACAAGTTCTGACAAGCTATTATAATTAATAAAAATAGCTGAGAAACACACACAGCAACAATATCGTTGAGTACACCCGAAGGTTGGTGTTGCCTGGTGTAGCTTGAGGAGTGTTTACTCGTATCTTTTTTTCCACTACCTGATGACACATGCAGTAAAATGTGTGTACGGTGTGTCTATGTGTGTGTGTGCTTGTGCATCTGAGTTTACAGTCAAGGGTGTTCAAACGCAGAGTTGAGTCAACAAGCTATGATAGGAAGTTCAGACAGTAATGAATGAAAAGATCCATTTCTGGGAAGTCTTTCTCCACAGTTGTCAATATAAAAGAAACAGAGAACACTGTATGAAAAGGCTTGTTGCTATGGCCAATATTAACAGTTTTTCAAAGAACTTTCCAATGAGAAACACTATAAAAATTTAAGAAAAACTATAAAATAAGTACATGGATAAAAGACGGTTAGCTTTATGCTGTTGGCAAAAGAGTTTCTGTCATCGAAGGATGCAGAGAGATACCTTCAAAAGATCGGAATATGACAAATTTCACCATGACCAGCTGCTTTGAGGGGCTTGAAAATGAAATATTTTTCAACATAAGCCCCACCAGGTTTAACTGAAAACAACACTCTTCACTGTCTAAGTACTTACTGAGGGGAAAAGATGCTTGGCTCCATTTCTTTCCATTTTGATCTTTTGCCACATTGGACATTTGAGTATATGAATTATTTGGGTATAAAAAAAGGAATATGGAACATGATGTTAGTCTTTATCATACTCATCCACTGACAACAATCGATCAATGGAGGAAATGGGGAAAATTAAGCCCTGAGTCACCCAAAAATCATTCCCAAAGCACCAACATGAAACTGTAGTCCTAGTTTGCAAATCTGTTGTGACTAAAAAAGTGGTGGATTTTCAAAAATGCATCACCTTGTGAAATGTCTTGCTCTGCAATAACCTGCAGAGATTGCAGATTGTTATACTTTTAATCCAAACAAGGCTATTGCACACAGATAGATAATCTTGTTACTAATACTGCAAATAGAGTTAAACATTGTAGCTGTTTTTCTTAAACCCAGATCACTTCAGATGAACTCTCAAACAGGAAAAACCACAGTGAGTCACTGGAAACAACTGTAAAGGTTAAGAGACGTGCTTCTGAAGTCCTTGACAAACAAAATTGTATTTTTAGTGGTAGCATTATTTGATTGGTTGGATTTTGAACTGCAACCGGCGCGAGTTACACACAGCAAGAAACTGTTCACGCTCTTGAAGCAGATGATCTGATATTGCCACAACACTTGCAATAGTGCATTTGTTACTGATTCTAATATACAGTGATTTGAAATGATGGAAAAGCACAAAAAGACGCAGAAATCGAATCGAGATGATAGT